TGTTAAATTCGCAGATAAGAATTTGTTGCTACACTTTGTTTGAGATTTTTCACTTGAAAATCCTATTTTTCTTAAAACAATTTCCAATAGAAATATACTATTCATACTTTTCCCACTTTTCGAACCTATAATAATACCTACTAACCTATTTCTCTCTCCTCTATTTTTTCTCCCATCTCATCAATAATAATAATATTAATAATATTAATATTAATATGATTAATAATAATAATAATAATAATAATAATAATAATAATAATAATAATAATAATAATAATAATAATAATAATAATAACCACCATCATTATAATATACTTTTGCACGTACTTTTGTAGATAAAATACTCAACAACCAAACATATTTTCATTTCTACATCTATATAAAACTAAAAACACATTTTCATCCAAACATATTCTCATTTTCTACACAAGAACCAATACATCTACTTTTTCCATCAGAAATTTTGAAATCTAGAAAATCCCATTAAAAATATAACCAAACATCCCCAGAGAGTTTCCACTTGCAGAAGATCCCTTGTGCATATCTCGATTTGTGTTCGCCTCGATTAAAGCTCGTCCGAACATGATTCGGTTGGTTATCGAACCAAGTTCAAACACAACACTGATAACTTTGGTTCAAACACAAAATTGAAAACTTGATTTCTGCTTATTTTCATTCTATGTAATTCGAATCATTCAAATACAAAGAAACTTGGATGAATTACTATGCTAAAATAACTTTAAGATTCATGTAGTATCCAATCACCCCTGAAACATTGTTAGAAACCCTAACAAAATAATACATTGGATAAGTTATTCCATTAGGATTCTAACAGACTATTAATTTCAGGTAGTGGTGGAGACAACATAGAGCTAGGGGATGACATGGCTCTCCTCGCGTTTCTTAAATCCTTATTATTTTATGTATGATTTATAACGTCTATGGTAGCATTAACGACCCCCGCAATAAATAAATATAGTGCATATCAGTCCCCAGGACATCAAAATCTTGGCTCCGGTAATTGTTTCAGGGGTATGACTGCAATTACCAACATCATAGGGACCTTATTATTATTTTAATATAGCTCAGGGGTGTAGTTGTAATTTAGCGAAGATACTTTATAAAGACTCTAGACTTGCATGATTAAATAAGTATTACACGTCGGATTGCAGAGATTTCAGCAACAAACAAGTCAATCACACATTGACTTTTTATTTTTGATAGAATCACACATTGACTTGATTTGGGGCAAAGACACCGTGTGGGAAAATCTGAACCTTGATGAAGTTTCTCCGAGGGCATGTTGATGTCAGTTGTCAATTTTCCCGTATTCATTTTTCCCTTTTCTTTTTCTTTTTATTTTTCTTTTTCTTTTTTGGCCAGACCCCGTATTCCTAAAGTTATATATGGAGCTAATTGCGCAGAACCCCAGTGTAATTTCGAAGTGTCAAAAAGTTCTCGTGTTGAAAATATTAGCAAGGACCCCGTATGTTGTGTTTTACAAAGCACACCGCTCCTTAATTTGAAATTGATGATTGACTTGTATGCAATGACTAAAGTGTCATTAATAGTTTTTAGCACTGGCGGAGCTTCTACGGGGGGGGGGGGGGGGGGGGGGGGGGGGGGGCTGTTGCCCCCCAAGAAAAAAAAAAATAAAAAATTTTAAGCTATTTTGACCTAATATTTTTTGAATATTACTTTTGACTCCCCCAAAGATTTTGTAAATATGTTTCTTAACCCTTACTTTTTTGTTTATTCTCCATAATTTTATATAAATTATAGATATATATTATATTATAGATATGTGTCGTAATTTTTTTCGCAGTATAAACCTATTTTTTCAATGTCTTGTGAACCTAAATTTTAGTTAGCACCCTAATCCTGGTTCCGCCCCTGGTTTTTAGTGATATTTCAATTTTAAATAAAATAAAAAATAAAAAAAAAAAGAGAAAGAAATATCACATGAATGAGGCAAACCAGCTTCTCTCCGACAGTGGTGGCCGTGATTTTTTTTTTTTTTTTTGTTTTTTTCAGATAAAAAGAAAAAAGTGCAGCACGACAATTTTCGGTGGACTGAAATTGTGAACTCAGAAACTATAGTAGTGGTGGTGGCATTCAAAGGCAGCGGCGGCAGTGTGGTGGATCCGGAGAGTCGGCTTCCAGTTTGGCGGAGGAGCTGTGCAGTACAAAGAATGATTCTTCGAGTTTGACATTCTTCTTCTTCATCCTCCTCAGGATACGACTTAAGTTTCACAAATTGGAAGACAATACTATAGAACTTGGAAGATATGCCTTGAAGAATTTTTGTATTTTTTTGGGTTTGGGCAGGGATGTGCCGAAAAAAGCTTGAGGCGCCATTTTTCATCCCTTTTGTTTGCTTGGATTTAGAATAGAAATAAAATTCATGCTCAAATCAGGGTTTAGTTGATAGCTTTGGCTGGGAAAAATCACAGTAAAAAAGTGGATGGTTGTTCTTGAGGTTGAAGAAGATGGCTTATTTGAAAATATAAATGACTCATTTGAAAATCTTAAAAGCTTCATTTTGGCGCTTATAATTTATGGGGGCATTTTAGTATTTTCGTGACAAAAAACAAACCTCCACTCGCATTCAGGGTGAGTGAAGCGCACGGTCAGCTCTCAGGGGCCTTATTGCTTTTGATTAATTTTCGTAGGGAGTTATTTGCTAATTATTTTAACACGAGGTCTTTTTCAGCAATTCTAGATTACACATGGGTGGTTTTTGCAAAAAAACCCGTTATATATATGTATAGATGTGGAAGTTGGAATGAAATTTCTGATTTTTGCCGATTTCGATGCGAATTTTTTTAATTTTGCAACAATATTTTTCAATTCGAATTACGAAATTCTTGGTTTCGATTTTTCCGAAATTATTTGTGTCAGAATATATGAGATTTTGATTTCAGTTCCGATTTTAAGTCCCGAAATTTTGGTTTTTCTCCGAATATTACACCTAATATTATTGTGTACTATAATATATATCTTAGGTGGCCAGAAAATAGAAATTTCCGAATTTCGATTCAAAATTTTCCGATTCCGGAACAACATTTTTCATTCCTATTTTCGAAATTCCGATTCCGATTTTTTCGATACTTTTTTTTTAAATTGAATTGGAACTAATTTTTCACTTTAAAAAACAATTGATTTTTTTCCGAAAGGGCTTACCTGATCCATGCGATTTACACCCCTGAGTACAAACAAACATTAGTTATCTTTTTCTTTTCTTTTTGGGTAAATTTCACTTTACCCCCTTGTATTTTGGCTGGATATTACTTTACCCCCTTATACTCTCAATTGCATCGATTTGCCTCCTTGTACTTTGGTTCGATATTACTTTACCCCCTTCTACTCTCAATTCATCGATTTGCGCCTTGTACTTTGGCTCGATATCACTTTACCCCCTTCTACTCTCAATTGCATCGATTTGCCCCATGTACTTGAAAAATTATCTCAATATGGCCATAGCCGTTAGTTTTTCAGACCTTTGACCTTAACACCGTTTGATTTAAGTGTCAAAGATCCGAAAACTAATGGCGAGTGTCACATTGAGACAATTTTTCAAGTACAAGGGGGGCAAATCGATACCATTGAGAGTAGAATGGGGTAAAGTAATATCGAGTCAAAGTACAAGGGGACAAATTGATGAATTGAGAGTAGAAGGGGGTAAAGTAATATCGAACCAAAGTACAAGAGGGCAAATCGATGCAATTGAGAGTACGAGGGAAGCGTAAAGTGATATCCAGCAAAAGTACAAGGGGGTAAAGTGGAATTTACCATTTTTTTTTTTTTTTAATAATTGTTTATTTAAAAAAAAAAAAAAAAAAAAAAAAAAGAGCTCTGGAGACCTGACGGAAGAATTCTTACAATTTGAATCCCTCGGTTCGGAATGCCGGAAAATCAGAATCCGGTCGTAATCCGGTTGCCTGTGCCATGATTAAGACCAAATTGTTACTTACTCTAAGGTAAATTTCTACTGTCAGTAGTAAATAGTAAATACTCTGTTTTTTTTTTTTTTTTTTTTTGCTTATATGCATATGTATAATATATTCTATAGAGTAAATTGCATTTACCACCCCTGTGAAAATTGCAACTGCGCGATTCCCCCCTGTCATAAAATAATTAGCAAATACCCCCCTATGAATTTTAGTCAAAGGCGTATTCCCCCTTGGTGCACCTTCGTGTTGCTCACTCGCTGTGCGTGCGACTGGTAAAGGATTTTTGACATGAAATTACGTAAATATCCTTACATTAAATTGATTAATACACCAATTGTAAATATCTTAAATTAAAGGACAAATTTGCAATAATTAAAACATATATTCTAACATTAAAAATCTTTAGGGTTAAATACAGTTTGCACCCCTAAAGTATACCCTCTGTAACACTTACCCTCTTAAAGTATCATTTGTAACACTTACCCCCTCAAGCACACTTTAATACCTTAAAATTTTATTTTACAGAAAGAAATAATTAAAAAGATAATTAAATTATACAACAAAAAATATCTGTTGAAAAATACAATATTTTAAAATTTAAAAATATTATCTTGCGTTGGATATTTATTCAATAAATAACATCTAATTGTTGTTGGACCAATTAATCAAAAATACTCTATCGATAAATTTTAAGAAATCAATACATAACTAATAGAAATCTGAAGTATTTAAATTTATTTTAGTTCCTTAATTTTTTTAAATATATTTTCCTTCATTGTTACCCAATATAGATTACTTTTTAATCTTTTTTCAATAATTAATTTTAGTTACTTTTCAATTTTTGTATGAACCGTTAATTATTAGATTGTTATGTTTATTATTTTTTAAATTTTAAAATATAAAATAATTGATGTTGAGGGGGTAAGTGTTACAAATGATAATTTAAGGGGGTAAGTGTTACATGAGCTATACTTTAGGGGTGCAAAGTGTATTTAGCCCAAATCTTTATATGCTTTCTTAAAGAAAAAGTTTTTATATGTTTTACATTTTATATTAAATAAGAATAATAATAATAAAATAAAATAAAAGTCTTCTTCTTCCCCGCTCCAACTCACCACCCCCTCCACCACACCCACAAATCACCACCGTTTCAACTCCGCCGCTGCCCCACCGCTGCCCACCACCATTTCAATCATCCTTCACCATCACCGCCACCATCACAATCTTCTCCAGATCCACATCCCACAACCACATTAAAAATAGGTTCCAGATCCGTCGCCCCACCCACAACAGTAAGTCAGTAAGAATGATGGATGTTAATACTAAATAAAAGGAAATATATATTCAACAACACAAAAGTTGAAGTACTCTTCCGGTGGCAGCCCCACCGCCGAGTCCGGAGGCGGCGGAGAGATTTCGATCTCGTTCTCGTCTCGGTGCAGTTCCTTTTCGTACGATTCCTTCTCTTCACCTGCACTATTTCGTGAGGTCGCCCGCATCGATAGAGCGGCAGGACTGAGGAGGCGGTCGTGCCCGTCGTTATTGCTCTGCAATGCCATTTCTAACGCCAGAACTTTTGGGTAGGAGATAGGTTTTTCAGAAATTTTAGAAATTACAATTTGGTGCTATAAATTAGGTTATTTATAATTGAATCGATATTATTTTATGTTTATTTACAAAGGGCTATTCGAAAATTAAATTATATGGGGTATTTTGGTATTTTCACGGTCAGTCAATGGGAAAAAATCAAATGGGTCGAGTGTGCTGTCCAAAAATATTCATAGGGGGTATTTGCTAATTATTTTATGACAGGGGGGAATTGCACAGTTGCGATTTTCACAGGGGTGGTAAATGCAATTTACTCATATTCTATATGTGCGTTTGTGTGTTTTATGATGTGCGTCTTGTTGTATATATAGTTCGTTGAAAATGCATGATTGGTTATTTAGATTGTTAGTTATGGAATTCATGTTTGTAATGCCAAGTTATAAGCTATTGAGATACAGTGTTATAGGGTTTCATTCCCCAATTTTATAAAGGGATATTCTAGTTGAAAATATCTTCTTATGATCAGAACAAATATCAAGTTGAAGTTTCGGCGAGGATTCAGAATCTGGTTTGATCTATTTTTGAATGTCAAGCATGCTTCTTTACATTTTTATTATGTTTGTGGGGGGATCCGAGATGCCCACCAGCTGTTTGATGAATTGTGCGAAAGGACAGACTTGGTCTCATGGAACACGTTTAATGTCGGGATATCTTTCATGGCTCGATATGATTTGGTTATATAATTGTTTAAGAAATTTGATAGGGATGGTTTCGGTGTTTGTGTTTTGTCACCGTTGTGGAAAATAAGATATATTTCATTACATGTATTATGTGCCGCAAGGCTGGCTTTTTGTCGAAGCTAAATGTGGTTACTGATTTAATTTCCTCGTATAGGAAACAAGGTCACGTTTATTCTGCTTGTCGGGTTTTTTTTTTGATAGAATTGATGCTAACAAAGATGTTGTCTTGTGGAACTTTTTAATTGACGATGAAATTCAAACATCTCAATCTCGCAAAAAGCTTTATTTAAAGCTCAAATGCTCTGAGGGCCGAAGTAGCATAATCGTAATTGATGAGTTTCTTAGAGTAGGAAGCATTCTATTCTATATATTCATATAATATTAATTGACGTTGGTCTAGTTTGATTTAGTTTTTGCACCGTTTGTCTAAATTGTATGTGTATTTGCGTATGGAACAATATCAAAGCCAAGCTATTCGTTTTCAATTCTACCATCTCTTTCAGTTATGGTGTTTAGCAACTGATATAATAAAAATACTATGCAGATCGGATATGCAGTTCTCCTTGGTCATGAAACCCGTATCAAGACTCAATTGCTATAGCATCGCCTCGCAGATTACTTCATTCCCTATCTCATTATTCGACATCTTTCTTCGACGCCCAAGATTCTATACTGTGGCAGCAACCGAATGGAGGACACAACCCAATTCGTCTTCGACTAATCACTTAGATATAGTCGACGAATTCACCACGTACTGCTATCAGAGGGATCTCTCCAAGGCAATGAAAGCATTGGACGTAATGCAAACACGTAAAATATGGGCTGATTCAATCACGTATACAGAGCTCGTTAAGTGCTGTATAGCAAATGCTGATATCAGACAAGGCAGACGAGTTCACCAGCATGTTTTTGCCAACGGGTACGAGCCGAAAACTTTCCTTAAAAACACGCTCGTGAACATGTACGTGAAGTTTAATCTGCTGGACGAAGCACACCTCTTGTTCGATCAAATGCTTGAGAGGAATGTTGTTACATGGACGACTATGATTGCTGCTTACTCTAATTCCGAGCATAAGTACAAGGCCTTGGAAATGTTGATTATGATGCTTAGAGATGGTGTTCGACCGAACATGTACACGTATTCTTCAGTTTTGAGAGCCTGTGAGGGGCTTACGAACCTCAAACAACTTCACTGTTGCATAATCAAGGTTGGTTTGGAGTTGGATGTTTTTGTCAGAAGTGCTGTGATCGACATTTATTCAAAATGGGGTGAAGTAAAATCTGCACTCAGCATTTTCGATGAGATGGTAACTTCGGATTTGGTTGTTTGGAACTCCGTTATTGGTGGGTTTGCCCAGAACAGTGAAGGCGATGAAGCCCTTAATCTATATATGCGAATGAGGAGATCTGGTTTTGGGGCTGACCAGTCAACTCTAACGAGTGTTTTACGAGGCTGCACTAGTTTAGCACTATTGGAGCTGGGGAGACAAGTCCACGTCCACGTCATCAAGTTCGATCGGGACTTGGTCCTTAACAACGCACTTCTAGACATGTATTGTAAGTGTGGCAGTTTGGAAGATGCTAGCTTTGTTTTCACGAGAATGGCTGTAAAAGACGTGATCTCTTGGAGTACCATGATAATAGGCTTAGCCCAGAATGGGTACAGCCGAAAAGCTCTCGATTTATTTGATAAGATGAAATCTTCAGGAGCAAAGCCGAATCACATCACGATTTTGGGTGTTCTGTTTGCGTGCAGCCATGCGGGGCTCGTAAAAGAAGGTGATTACTACTTCAAATCGATGAAGAAGCTTTTCGGGATCGATCCAGGAAGGGAGCACTATGGCTGCATGGTTGATCTTCTTGGGAGAGCTGGGAAAGTCGAAGAAGCTATTGAACTAATCAATGAAATGAAATGCGAACCCGATGCTGTGACGTGGCGAACTCTGCTTGGTGCTTGTAGGGTTCACCGTAAAATGGATCTTGCCGAATATGCCGCCAAAAGGGTTTTGAGCTTGGATTCTCACGACGCGGGGACTTATATACTGCTGTCGAATATCTACGCCAATACTCAAAGATGGGAAGACGTCGAAAATTTGAGGAAATCGATGAAGAATGTGGGAATTCAGAAAGAGCCTGGATGTAGTTGGATCGAGATAAACAAGCACGTCCATGCTTTCATATTGGGCGATAAAGCCCACCCGGAAATAAATGCTATTCACGAGGAGCTGAATCGAATCATGTGGAGATTGAAGGGGGAGGGATATGTGCCGGACACGAATTTCGTCTTGCAAGATCTTGAAGGAGAGCAGATGGAAAACTCTCTTGCTCACCACAGCGAGAAACTCGCGATTGTTTTCGGTATGATGAGTTTGCTGAAGGGGAAGACGGTTAGGATTAGAAAGAATCTGAGGATATGCGGCGACTGTCATGTTTTCGCGAAGCTTTTGGCGAAGATGGAGTCTCGAAGTATTGTCATTAGGGATCCTATTCGTTACCATCATTTCGAGGATGGATCTTGCTCTTGCGGCGACTACTGGTAGTACGAAATAAATGCGATTACCTACCGCAAGTTCCTAACGAGATTTTATGATCGATTAATCCGTATATCTTGTGAATGAGGTAATATTAAGTTTTTAATATTTCCTCCGATATATGTGCTTGATCTTGTATACTTTGTCGTAATGAATCCTCATGAAATTCACTTCGTTCTTGTTTCCAGGTATAGAAGGACAAGTTGGTGCAGAAATACATGTGCTTAAGCCATGTTTGCCTCAGTCCTCCGATAAATTAATATGTTTATTGCTCGACAATTTGTCCGTTAAATAATGTTGAAACTCCTTGCCTGTATCGTCGTTGGGGTTCAGCATTAGACCAAGAGAGCCAGAGAATCGTGTATAAGAAAACTATCGGCCGATGCGAAACAGCAAGGTAAGATTATTTTCCTGAACTTCGTATCTGCACCCTTTTTCCGAGATTAAGGAATTTCGACTCCACAAGCGAAAGTCTTGGAGAAATCCATGCTCGTCTCTGATTTTGTTCACACATGAGATGATGTGGCGGGTATGTCGGAAAATCTTAAAGCTTGAAACCTGGCATGTAACGCCACTCATCAAAATCCCTACGCCATGTGGTTTTCCATCTGTCTTTTGTTGTTGTAGCACCATACGATGTAATTTGTATGTGTAGAGAATGTTGAATCGACACCTAATACGAAACGGATGTTGGAACCAAAATGAGAATTTCGTAAAAATCATTCAACGAGTAAGCTGCTGAAGCACGTCAGCTTTTTCTTATTTAACGTCGTTTCTCATTTAAAAGCGCAATTGTTTTTCTGGTAATCTTTAAAATCGTAATAAGTTTTAGTAGAAAATGTAAAGATAATTTTCGGTGAACTTCTGAAATGGTTGGAATTGGGATTGAACCTTAAATTGGCCGAAAATTGACAGCAAACTTACAAAAAATAGCCACAAGTTTGATGGTGAACTTTTGAAAATTGGCAGCGAACTTCAAAAAATTATCAGTGAAATTTCGAACAACTTCTGGACAAACGGACTTCTAAAATTAGCTGAATTTATTTATTTATTTTTACATGTGCACTCAGAACTGGAAATCAGATTAAGTTACTCGATACTCGATTACAGATAAAACATTTAAAGAGTAAAAAAAAATTCAAACAAGCTCGAATGGCCATGTAATTAGCTCAATTCGATTCCATTACCCCCTATTAGACTCCTAATTAAATAAAATAAAAAATGGTACATTACAAATTACAATAATCCCTAAGGTATGGTTAAATTACGAGAAAAACCCTTCTGTTTGGATAATTACAACTACTTCCCTCAACTACGAATCTTCTTACACGTTCAGTATTGATGTGTCAAATTTAGTGAAATCTTCTAGATTATATGAAATATTCTTCAGTGTGTACCCGTGTTACTCGATTCAATCTCCACATTTTGAAATAAGATGATCATAAGATGTGTTTTTTGACTTGTATATATCAGATTGTGGTGCATCAGAAACGCTAAAGAACATTCCACCGAATCTAGAAAATTATATTGAATTTAACACCATAAGGATGAACGTGTAATAAGATTCACACGTGAAGAATAATTGTAATTTTAACCATAGGTCAGGGTGGTTGTAATTTACCCAATAAAAATAAAAATAAATTGATAGCAAAATCTGCAGCCAAAAACATAAACCAATCCATTATCCATTTTCCAATTGGGTATATTTTTGCTCCCCAAAGAAATGAGTCAAAAATCCTTTACTACAGATAAAAAGAGTCGGAAGAAGAAGAAGTTCCCATCCCCAAGCCGAGCTAGGTCAATCTCCCCTCCGCGTTCCGCCGCCGCACTTGTCGACCGCGACCTATTGACGGAAGACTTCTCGCCGGAAAATTCGAATCCGAGGAGCTTCCCGCACAGCGTGAAGCAGCAATGTTGGGACAAGGCAGAGAAAATCAAGGGGCGCGACCCGGATAGGTGGCGCCGTGACCCGTTGGGTAATACTGTGTTCAGGAAGCTCGTGGGCTGCCCCGGCTGCCTGTGCCATGATTACGACCACATTGTTCCTTACTCTAAGGTATATTTCTGGTGAATTTTTTTTATGCCCACCACCTGTTTGATGAATTGTCTGCAATATCAGACTTGGTTCCATGGAAGATATTTTCGTAGCTCAATATGATTCTAGTGTTAGTGTGAACCCTGACCACCATTCTAAATGTTTTGTTTCAAATTTTGGGGAAACAAGGAATACTCCAATCGGAGAGTGTGTCGACATGTATTATTATGCTTCAAGATTCGCCTTTTATCGAATCTAAATTCGGTTACTGATTTAATTTCTATGTATGGGAACCACGGTCACATTTATTTGCCCGGTGCATTTGTAAAAGTGCTATCCAAGCCTATATACGTTTGTGGGCGATTTGATTGCACTCGTTATTTGTAAGTGATCATTCTATACATAATCGAAAAGAAAATAGAAAAATAGGCTGTGTACTCTGCAGTTATTACACAATTATATGTTCGCATAGAAAGTCGTTTTGAACTGCTCATGCGACATTCCGTATTTATATATTTGCAGGGAGGAAAAAGCACATTAGAAAACTGTCAAGTGTTGCAGGTAAATATTTTTCCTTCCTCATAAGTTTAGTAGATACTTTTTTCTTGCTGGAATACATGTCCAATTACCCTTGTCCCATTTATATTTAAAATCAAATTTTATAATTAAAAATTGTAAAATTTCAATTCATATTCGATTTTTTCTACCATATTCATCGGGTTTTAAAAATTTCCAAAATTTTATGACAAATATTATAGGACCAACAATTAGATTGCAGTTCAACTTGTTCGATTTTAATAGCCATAATCACCATTTTATTTTGTAGGCAACTGTTAATAGATCAAAAGGAAACCGGACTGAGATATCGAAAAGCGATCTTATTCAGAAGAGTGCTTACTGTCGTGTGTCAGGTAAATTATGCTTCTTTATTCCTTAATAAAAAGAAATAGAACAACACACAGTCTCTTAAGTTGTGAAACAATGGGTATTTTTGTAATTTCACGATGTTGCAGGTCGCGATATGGACCTTCTTGAGCTGTCAGCCTTTGGTAATGTTCGTCGTGGGCAAGATTCTGGCGGATGTAAAATTCAATAATTGCCTTATTCGTCGACAATACATACACATTGGCTGCGATATTTGCTTCAAGTGACAAGAAATTCGTATGCAGATGGTTTGATGAATTTAACGAGCTTCTATTGGTTTTAAGCTTTAAGGTACGTATTCTTGTGACCAAAAAAAAATATTCACTTCAAAACACAGCTCGACTGTATGTGGGTCCCGCCGGCATGTCCATAAGTCGATAGACGATTAGGGAAATAAAAAATATAAAAAATCTGAACCATTAGAAAAAGATTGCATTGTATTTTCTTGTATTAGTGGTGGTACTTAATTTCACTTTTCTTGTGATTTGGTTAAATCGAATATGAACTGGACGACATTGTCCTTGTACCGTTTTGTGTACGTTAATCGACGCATGTCGTTTTCAATGTTGATTTTGACCTAATTCCTATTCGAATTTTGGAAAATGTAAAACATGAAAGTTGTAGATCTTCTATTGTACAATTTTTTTTTAAAAAATAGTATGAAATATTTACCAGTTTAATTATGAATTTTATGATTCACATGAATTATTTTTATCAAAAAAGAAAAAAAAAATAGTCTAAACTAATTCATGTGAATCATAAAATTCATAATTAAAATGGTAAATATTTCATACTATTTTTAAAAAATTGGATTATTGGCCACAGGGCAATTTTTGACCGGGTCTGACCCGAACCGTGTTTCGTAACTATTCAGTTTATGCCCATAGTTTAAAATTGCCCTGTGGTCAATAATCCAATTAGCCAAGTCAACTACTCGGAACTGGCATGTGAACGTTCGGGCCAATCAAGGGTCGTGATTGTTGACTGTTTCAATTAAAAAAAAAATTGTTAGTCAAATGTCAAATTTTAACGCTATCATGTTGGTTGAACAAATTAACCCTTGTACGATAGAATTTCGATAAATTAATAATTTTAATTAAATAATATTTTTTTGGCCCCGATTCGGTGTAAATGTATTAAATTTTTAGTTCGATAATTTAACATTTGGCTAAATTAATAGAATTTTGCTAGTCCTGATTGTTTTAATTTATATAGGCTTAACTGAATGTCGAAGTGCCCAAATAGCGTTGTGAACGAGCCGAGCTTGAGCTCGAGCACAATTTCATTTTGAATTTTTTTTTTAATTAAAGATTATTTGTATTGTAATCAAGGTTGTAAAAAGCGGTAATCGGGTCGGAGGCGGTCAGGAACCGACTCACGATTAATCGGTGCGGCGGTGATTAATCGGTGATAAATCGAAAATAAATCGATTTTTAAAATTTAATATAATATATTTCTAGATATTATTTATAAATATTCAAAACATATATAAAAAGATATTTAAACATAGTTATATCTCCATCATGTGTATATCTTGATAAAATAATAAAAGTTTAATAATAATAAGATAATAATACAATAAATATCCTTATAAAATATAAATAAGAAGACAATTTTTTTGAATTTACATTTATTCTTGAACATTCCTAGCATACATCATTAGTTTTTTAATAATAACAGTTAACATAAACAAAATAAAACATAAAATCATATTTGGTTGATTAAAATCCCAACTTTTATTTTGAATTATATATTAAAAAAAAAAAAATCGATTTTTGCCACCGAAGTTTGACCCGCCATATAGGTTTGACCGCCTTAGACTGCCTCGGACCGCCTCAGAGGCAAAAAACCGATTTTTCAAACCTTTACACTAAAATCGTAAATGTTTTTGACCGCCTCCGCCTCGGAGACCGATTAATCGGCCGCCTCGACCGATTTTTAGAACACTGATTGTAATAAAAAAAATACAAAAAATAGTGAACTGTAATTATATACTTTTTAATTTTTATACTATTATTATAATATTTTATATTATTTCAATAAAAAAAACAATATATAAAAACTAAAAAATAAATTAAAAGAAGGCTTACGAGCCGGCTCGTGAGTTTACATACAACTTAGAAAACGGTCAAACTTGAGCTCGAAAAACTCGAATTCAAATTCAAGTTTTTTCGAGCCTGCTCAGCTTGTTTACCACCGCTATGCCCAACCCATCAGTTTTTCACCTAAAATTTTGAACGGACTAAAAAATGATAGTCAGGCGCCGATTGAACTGACAATATTGAAATGGTAATTGAACCCTTACTTGGAAGAGCAGGTGAAAGGTCGATTTTGACCCTGAAGTGAATATCTTTATCATTTCGTAGCTAGCCTTTTGTAATTGAAATTCGACTTTGGGTGTTTTTTTTTTTTTTTTTTTTTTTTTTTTTTTTTTTTTTTTTTGATAATGCAGGAACCCGCAGCCAACCATATAGGTGCACTGGGTAAACCTACACTCTCGTATAATAGCTTGCACGACTTTAGGTGTTGATTGTTATTAAAATTTTAAATTAAATTGTTCTTGTTATCTTGATCAACACTGTCAAATAATTATTTATTTCAAGAACTCCTAACTTTTTTATTGAGAAAGTGACAGCCTCCCGATTCGCTTTATGCTCAAATACTATCCACATCTCCCTTTATCATCATTTTCTTTTCTTATTTATTCTATAATTTGAATATTTTATACCATTAATCGGTGAAGTTCCGAAATTACATTCCTCTTTTTATTCCTAGTAACATTTACGCACGAACTTGCATATACCTACGTTTTAAAATAAATATTGTTTTAGATTAGAAAACTTCCACATACTGTCCTCTTACGTTTAAGCACAACATTTGCATGCATGAGTAGCTTAACTGGTTTTAGAGGTGGTAAGTTATTATAAGAGTCTAGAATCAAGTGCTGGAAGCTGCAATGTGGGAATTTAAACTTCAATTTCAGTTGGTTCTCTGTAGGCATCAGGCCTAAGTTCGCTTCCCTAACGAGCCGTTGAGTCTATAATTTTCATCCTCCATTAAACCTATTGGACCAGGGGATGGGGGCCCTTGAGGCGATAAATTTTGTCTTTTGACACAAATTTAAGCAAAACATGTATCTCAACCAAGTTTAATTGGAATGGTCACAAGTTGAATTGAATAATTTCAATTGATTGACATAAATTGCAAAGTGGAGCTTGACTTTTAATGTAAATTACTAAATTAATTTTCTTTCCGTTTCCACTTGTTAAGGAATGACCAAAAAGAGCACTAAATATAGGATGGAGGAAAGGTTCCAAGAAAAGTTAGGTAGTGGGAGATTGACTTTTCATTTTCCAAGTCTTCATGTGACACTAGTATTTTTTTATAGGCCTACTATTATAAGTTTACTACTGTATTACAAATTACAATAATTAAAATCCGATTTTAAATGTGATATTGCAACAATATCTATTCCTAAATTCCTACTATGTAGTCAATATGACTTGATAGTAACGAATGCCCTTTTTTTCAAAAAAAAAAAGAAAAAACGAATGCCCTTCAAACCGAATAACTCTATGAAATTACATCGATACAGAACGAGCGCCTAGGAAGTTTATAAATTTTACTAAGTCTTTGGTCATTAAAAAAAGGAGTTTATATAGATTAAATATAAGAAATAATTTGGTAAGAACTTATATACTTGTTTAAACAAAATGATAAAGAGACCCCAACTTATATTTGAAAAAAATATAAATTTATTTTATTAAAGTCATCATGACTTACATCTTAAAAGCTGAATGATGTTAATTTTTTTTCCAAATTTCGCAACAACATTTTAAATAAGATCTAATATTTCTACAAATTTCACAAATATTTTAAAGTACGTGTAAACTATTCATTGAGTACATCCAGCTTACAAAACCGTACGAGAAATATAAATTACATTAAATTAATTATATGTGACGAATAAAATGTTGACAAAAAATTGGATAAAATGACACGTCATTTTGCTCATCTATGATGCTTTGAACAATTTTACTTATTTTACACATTCAAATAGCGAAACTTGGCACGTGCGAAGAAGGAAATAATCTCCAAAAAGTGGAAGGGCAAAAACAGAAATAGACAAAAGATAAAAGAAAGCCAAAAGCATTTATTGGGCACACTTTATGCATATGGAATTTTGGGACCCCAAAACAACTAATCTTATTCAATATATATATGTGGCTTACATTTGCTCAACCAAGAAAAAATATCTCAGTTGCTGAGCCACTACTTCCACATATATTTCCATCCTTCTTTTAAAAGTCAATAATTGGCACTTTTATAGTTGGGTAAATAGCATATAAGCCCCCGTAGTTTGAGTTTTATGCACATGACCCTCAGTACTTTTAATATAAGCACATAACCCCTTCTGATATTCCACTTGGTAAATAACCATGTACATTAGGAAGATGAATTTTTTGAAAGTACAAGGGTTTATGTGATTATATTAAAATACAAGGGGTCATGTGTTATATTAAAAATACAAGGGGTCATGTTTCGCAAAGTTCAAACCATAGGGGATGTAAGTGCTATTATTTTTTTTTTATTTTCAAATAATAATTTATTAACATCACATGCCTTTGAGGGAAAAATGATCCAATTAAGGTGCCAGCTGGATAATGTATCAGTGTTGTCTATATACAGTCTGTCTTATGAGTTTCAAGATAAATGAAAATTCATTTTAATTTTTTTTCATGTGAAATTGTCTGAATAATCATCGCCTAATTGAAATAACATGTAAGATTTATTAAGCCCTCCAAATCATGTGTTCTTACAACTAGTGCTGTTTTAAGTATTATAACATATGTCAAAATTGAATCTTTTTTCCCTTTTTTAATATTTTATTTTGATAGCTATCTAATGTGTTTATTATATAAATAGAAAAAAAACATGATTATTTAGATTGGATAGAGGGCAAAATAGTACATGTACATCTGCCCCCTTTTTTCTGTTGTTGTTTGGTTTTGAATAGGGTAGCTACTTGACCTTTTGCAAATCAACGAGGAAAAAAAATCTTATATATCATCACAATTCATTCATATTCAAAAAACAATTTAATATATATATATATATAATATGTATGGAGTATGGACGCTTGTGTGTACTGAATGCACTATAATGCTCGGGCTTACGTCTTTCCTAACATCAATTAATTTTGAGACAACTGTTATTAATATTTTGAATATCCTTTTTTGTACGGTTAGATGAATGGTAAATATTTACCCGGCGTACAGTTCACTAGATATAACATAAATTTCACTAACCAAAAAGTTTAATGAAGAAAAGTCTATTAAAGACACCTGCAAGTTGCAAAAAGAGAAGTCTTTATGTATAAAGATAATTCAAAAGGGAGAGAGCCCCTTTTACCAAACAAAAGTTCCTTACACAACTAATTAAGACAGTTAACAAAATTCCAAACACCTATTCATCAATTCTTACTCTTTATCCTCTGTTAAAACAAAAGTACTTCTCTACAAACTTATATATACATGGGTGGAAAAAGCACCACAAATTCATCAAAGGTAAAAAAAGAAAGAAAGGCATCTTCTTATTGTTACAAGAAAAAAAAGCTGGAAAACTAGCTCGTCCGAGAAGCCGATAACATGTTAAATACAGTCACAATTCCAAAACCCGTGTTTTCATCTTCTATTCCAAAATCACAAATACGCACCACCTATACATTTCACGGTGTCATTGATTCTTGTTTTTGACATGTAATGTATATCGATGATTTCAGAATAGGAAGAAACAAAACACCATTCGAAGTAGCGGGCCACATTTCTTGAATCTACGCACCCTCTTGGAATGTTATCGAACGAGACAAAGCCGCAGGGTTAGCCTGCATCGCCGCCGAAGCCGAAACCCTAATTTCCTTTTCGCCACCACTCTTCGGTTGCAAGGCCTTGAAAAGACCTTCCCTATTAACGGAATTATATTTAATCCCCAAAGTTTCCCATATCGAACTCTTTGCAGCTTCCTCCGGATCGTCGATCCTCAATGTTTTCGGAATCACAATCGAATTACTTTCCGAACCCTTCTCGGAAACCTTCGGATTAATCAATTCACCGTTTCTCGAGTGCTTCCCTAACGGCGAAGTGGGTCCCGTTTGATCCCCAGATACCCACGGCATATTCCAACCCCAGTAAGGTGCGGGCGGGTAAAACGGGATAGGGTAACCGGGCGGGCAAAGGGTCGGTAACGGAACGGGGTAAGGCCAAGGAACACCCGGAATGCAATGAACGGGGTACGGAAACCCGTTCATGTTATTTACAGGTACATCCGGCGCGTTATTGGATCCGCACGCGACCCGTTTCTCCGAAGTATCCAAACCCGGTTCGAACGCGGGCGGGTCGGGGCCGAACGAGAGGATGGCGGGGTTAGGTTTCAGGGCGTTATCGGAAATTGTTATGAGGTGGCAATGGGGGGCGGAGTTCTTGTTCTTTCTCCGGCCGGCCCCCACCGGAACGTTCCTCATGGTGCCGCCAGCTGTCCAGTACCGCTGACAGCTCTTGCAGAAGTGGCGGGGTTGACTGACGTTGTAGTTGTTGTAGTAACAGAATTTGGTCTCCATGCTGCTGCAACGGGGGCAGGGGAGGATTTTGTCCGGCTTTTTTAGGGTCTTTTGTTGGCCGTCCGTTGGATCGGGTTGCTCGTTTTCAGCCTTTGGATCGTCTTCGTTGATTGATGGAGTTTCGGGATTCTCGTCGGACTCGTTATGACAGTTGCGAGGCTCCTTAGTTTCAGGGAGTTGGTCCTAAAGTTTTGAAGATAATTGCAATTTTTAGACAAACTATCATTCCACCAATAGAAAGTTGTTACCACAAAAAAGGAAAAATAAAAAAGAAGAAGATTATATTCCAACAGCTTTTGATCCAAGTGCCAATAATATATGATAAAAGAAACAAAGGCAGTGAAAATGACTTTGGTTTTAATCAAGTACAAGAACACTTCTCTAATTGGGAATTTACCCTTTACAGAACAACCATAGGAATTTTCTAAATAGCTTGTCTTTTTTTTTTTTTTTTTTTTTTAAGTTAATTAATCCCTGTTTTACTCATAATCTAAGAACACAAACCAATTAATTCAAGGAAAATAAATAAATTAATTCAAAGGATTTTTTTGATTGATCTACAAAGGCAAAAAAGGGGAATAAAAAATCGAACGAAGAAAATAACCTAATTTATCAATTCCCAAAATTAAATAAAAACAATAATTAATCCAGATATATTTGCAAAATTCCAGTGTGTGTGTGTGTGAAAAAATTAGTAATTACCTCAGCATCAGATCTTCCGACCTCTCCCGCCTCTCCTCCGCCGCCATCAGAGTCGACGACGGCGCCGCCGCCTACTCCGCCGCTCCCGCTGTTACTTTCGTCGGAGGATCGACGCCGGCGACAAATCCGCTGTTCTCCGGCAACACAATCATTTCCTTCCTAGGAGTTTATAACTGGCATTATCACGCTGCCTGCCGTCTCCCCACCTTTCCT